CCTGGGGTCTGGCCCGAAAACCGCCTTGGGGGATGCACCGATCCTGGTCCCAGGACAGGGCCTGAGGAGAAGGAGGAGGAGGAGGACGAGGAGGAGGAGGAGGAGGAGGAGGAAAAGGACGAGGAAAAGGACGAGGAAAAGGAGGAGGAGGAAGAGGAGGAGGAGGAGGAAGAAGAGGAGGAGGAGGAGGAGGAGGAGAGAGGAGGGGAGGAGGAGGAGGAGGAGGAGGGAGAGGAAGAAGGAGAAGAGGAGGCGGAGGAGGAAGAGGAGAGGAGAGGAGAGGAGGAGGAGGAGGAGAAGGAGGAGGAGGAGGAACCCGACGTGGCCGCGAAGTGGCCGCGTCGCGAGAGGAATCGCGGCCGGAGCTCCAGGCCCCCCCCGTTGCTGGGCCCCCCCTCGAGCCGCATCGACCCGTGACGGCCAAGGGGCCCCGACACCGGGCGGGGGCGCCCCGGGGTTGGAGGCACTGCGGCGCCCAGAGCTCGGGGTCCCTCCTCCTCCTCCTCCTCCTCCTCCTCCTCCTCCTCCCTCCTCCTCCTCCTCTCCTCCTCCTCCCCTCCTCCTCCTCCTCCTCCTCCTCCTCCCTCCTCCTCCTCCTCCTCCTCCTCCTCCTCCCTCCTCCTCCTCCTCCTCCTCCTCCTCCTCCTCCTCCTCCTCCCTCCTCCTCCTCCTCCTCCTCCTCCTCCTCCTCCTCCTCCTCCTCCTCCTCCTCCTCCTCCTCCTCCTCCAAACGCGTAGAAAAAATCAGGACGGAGGTGTTTTGCCGCTTCGGCCTCTATAGAGACCCTCGCCAGGCCTCGGCCGTCAAGAAACGACTCGGGATGAAAAGCCGGCCCTGGGGAAATGGTCGGGACTTCCGGGACCCCGCATCGAAAAAAATACGTCATCGGATCTCGGGGTCCGCGCGCGCGGGAGCTCACCACCCAGCAAGCCACCCCCACCCAACCCGAAGGCCCCAATTTGCCCTCCATGCCTGGTGGGGGGGTGGGGCGGGGAACGTTTTGGAAAAGCTGTGGAAGGCGTGACGTCCCGACACCACAAACCCATGGACGTCCCTGGGGGTTCGGGGTTGGGTTTCCTGTGGTCTGGGCCCCCCCCCCCCCCCAACCCGCAATTCTGGCCTTCGGGTTGGGTTCGAGTGGCCTGGTACAGTCGAGCATCTGATCAAGAAACCTCCTCCCGAAAAGCTGGGCCAGCGCTTCTCGACCAGCTCGCCGGAGAGCTGGCCCAGTTTCTTGAGCACGCTCGCCCCCTCCAGCTTCGAGACGAACGCTTGGCCCAGGTTTGGCTAAAGAAACTTCAGGACAGTTCTGGCCCAGGTTTCTTCACTGATGATTTTCTTGCTCTTGCCTGTTTCTTCACTGATGATTTTCTCGTCTTGAGTTTCTTGAGCACGCTCGCCCCATCCAGCTTTGAGAGGAACACTTGGCCCAGGCTTGGCTCAAGAAACTTCAGGAAAGCTGGCCCAGGTTTCCTCACTGATGCCTTTCTTGCTCTTGCCTGTTTCCTCACTGAGGATGTTCTCGCTTCTTCAGTCTCTGGAGCACGCTCGCCCCCTCCCGAGAGGAACACTTGGCCCAGGCTTGGCTCGAGAGACTCCAGGAGAGCTGGCCCGGGTTTCCTCCCACTGCTGATTCTCTCGCTCTCACTTGCTGCTGGTGCAGTGTCGTTGTTTGTTTTATACATGCTCCGCGTGCGGATCATGCATTCAAAATGCAGGGATCTAGTATTAAGAACAGCGATGAGGTCATGCATAACTCTATGCATAAACTAGTATTGCATTAAACATTTTTATATAAAAAACTATGTATTAGAAACTGCCCTGTAAGCAGTCCGTGCGCTCCCGCTGCCGGTCGCCCACCGCCCCCTCCGCCCGCGGGGAGGACGCGCGGCCCCCCCCCCGCCCTCAAGCAGTGGCGAAGCATCCCGGCTCGCCCATAGCCGTACCAAACAGTGTCCAAAGCACCTTTTGTGGCTCCCACGAGATGCTTTTTTGAACATTTCTGGCTGGGTCTGTCTCGTTTGCTCTCATCGGGCGCATGTTCCAAGAACATTGCGTTTGTTCCGAGAACAGTGGTGGGTTCCAAGAACATTTCGTGGTAGGACTACAGGAACATTCGGGTTCTAAGAGCACTTCGTGGTAGAACAGCTTGGGTTCTGAGAAGATTCGGGCTGATGCTCTAAGCACACTGCTTCTGTTCTCAGAACATCTTTGGGGGTCCTAAGGACACTTCGTGGTAGGACTGCTAGGGATGCCGGGACGGTCGGTCCTCGCTCAACTCCCCCCCCCCCTCGCCCTCGCGAGGCATTTGTGGGTTCTAGGAACACTTCGTGGTGGGACTGTAGGGATGCTGGGACGGTCGGCCCTTGCTCACCCCCCCCCCCTCGCCCTCGCGCGAGGGGCGCGCCGCGGCCCCCGGCGAGCGAGGCCCCGGTCGCGCCGCCGCAGGGCCGACGCCCCCCACCAGAAAAAAAAACATACCTCGGGCGCGGCGGGCTCCTGGCCGCGCCGCGGCCGCGGCCTCCAGGGCGCCCGGCGCCGGGCCTCGGGGCGCCATCGAGCGGCGACTCTCCGGGGGAGGGATCCCAGACATGATGGAGTCGTGAAAAAATCAGGACGGGAAGGTTTTCGCTATGTTCGACCCCTATAGAGGCCCTCGCCGGGCCCCGGGGCCGTCAAAAAACGACTCGGGATGAAAAACCGGCCCCGGGGCAAGGGTCTGGACTTCCGGGGACGCCGTCCTGAAAAAATCAGGACGTCGCATGTCTGGGACTCTCTGGGGGAGGAACTGGAGGCTTAGAGATGGGCACCAACACCAACGCAGGGGTTTGCCTCCACACGGGGGAGATGATCCTAGGTCTCGGTGTTGGTGGCAGTATGTCGGTCACCTTGGAAGCCACAGTATTACCACCATCACCGAGATCGGGGTATTCTTCCCTCGATAGAGGCAAACCGCCGATCTTGGTGTTGGTGTCAACCTCTAGGCCTGCCAAGGAACAGAGACCGAGTATTTTATTTTCGGGTGGAGGGCAGAGGGTGAAATCTGAAGTGCGGTTTCGATGGGTTTTCGAGGCTTGAGCCTGCAGAAGGTGAATCACAAGACGGACTGATTTACGAGGTGCCAAAGCCCACATGGATTTCACCCTGAGCCCCCTCTCCACCCTAAGAAAATGCGCAGAAAGAGGTGCCCATGCCGCTACCCGTCCCTCGTCGCGCCTCCTCGCGCGACGCTGCAGGTTGTCTCGGGGCGTGTCCGAGGAGGAGGAGGAGGAGGAGGAGGAGGAGGAGGAGGAGGGTCGAGGTTCGAGCCGATGTGGGCCTCCTGGGCGTCCGTCGTCGGCGCGCCCGGAGCGCAGCTCGAGCCACTTTGCCAGGACGGGCGAGCAGAGGCAGGAGGGAAAAAACACACAGACACAATGAATCGTCGATTCCCAGGAAAGTATGGGGACATGTGGGAAGTGGGGGGGAAGACAAGCACCCAGAAAATACAGGACAACATGGGGAATCCTGTTAATTTGTGTGTATTTATTTGTGCGTGTCCTGGGGCCCCTTCACAGAAGCGAGCACACAGCAAGCAGGGGGCAGCAGAAGACCGCGCGGCCCCCTCGCTCTGACGTGCTGTGCGTTCACGACAGGCTGGTTCAGCGTTTCTGGAGGGACTTCTTCCCTGGGCGCTCAGCTTACGGTCAGGAACTCTGGATCTGCGAGTCGCTGCCCCAATTCTGGCACGCCACGCTTCGGCGGGACACGCTATCCACGTCCCCGCTCCCGAGCGTCAACATCCCGAGCTGTTGCCAGCCTCCCTCCCCGCGGAGCGGAGCGGCATGCTGTCCGCTCCCATAGCGTAGCGTGTCGCCGGGGCCGCCGCCGCGACACGTCCCGACCGTAGACTCCTTGAGCATAGCGTTTTTCCCGACCATCCTGTGGTGTTGGGTCCTCGTTTTCAAGAGAATTCTCGCGTTCCCTCTCTTCTCCTTTTCTCTCCTCTCCTCTCCTCTCCTCTCCTCCTCCTCCTCCTCCTCCTCCTCCTCCTCCTCCTCCTCCTCCTCCTCTTCCTCCTCCTCCTTCTCCTCTCATCGCCCCCCTTCACTTTGGCACACTCTTGACACTTTTCGTGGCCCTATAGGGAGCTCCACCGAAGGCCTCAGCGGCATGGTTCGCATGCCGCCCTCCCTCCACCTTGGCACACCCCTCACACGCTTCGTGACCACACAGGGAGCTCCACAGAAGGCCCCAGCGGCATGATTAGCATGCCGCCCCCCCTCCACTTTGGCACACCCCTCTCATGTTCCACCGAAGGCCCCAGTGGCATGGTTCGCATGTCGCCGCCCTCCACTTTGGCACACCCCTCACACACTTCGTGGCCCCATAGGGAGCTCCACCGAAGGCTCCAGTGGCATGGTTCGCATGCCGCCCCCCCCTCCACTTTTGGCACACCTGTCACACGTTCTGTGGCCCCACGGGGAGCTCCACCAAAGGCTCCAGTGGCATGATTCGCCTGCCGCTCCCCCTCCACTTTGGCACATCCCCCGCACACTGCGTGGCCTCATAGGGAGCTCCACCGAAGGCCCCAGTGGCATGGTTCACATGCCGCTCCCCATCCACTTTGACACACCCCGCATGCGTTGCGCGGCCCCACGGGGAGCTCCACCGAAGGCCCCAGCGGCAGCGCCCGCATGGCGGCCCCGCCCCACTGCGGCGCACCCTTCGCGTTTCGTGCCCATTGGAAGCTTCACCGAAGGCCGTTCTAACAACGGAGGCATTCACAACTGCATATGGTCGGGCCCTTCGCCAGGATGATCGCGAAGCCCTTGCAAGCATCACTCGTCGGCCTCCTCGTGCGCCCTGCACTCTACGGCGCCGTCCTCCTCCTTCTCCTCCTCCTCCTCCTCCTCCTCCTCCTCCTCCTCCTCCTCCTCCTCCTCCTCCTCCTCCTCTTCCTTCTCCATGGAGCCCTCCATGGATCCCCCTTGGAACTGGAGCTCAGCGTGCCGCACCGCCAGCTCCAGCCCGCCACGCGTCGGCGCGACACGCGATCCACGTCCCCGCTCCCAAGCGTCAGTGTCCCGAGCCTTTCCCAGCGTCCGGCCCCGCGGAGCGGAGAGGCACGCTATCCGCCCGCAGGGCACGGCGTGTTGCCGAAGCCGCCGCCCCGACGCGCTGAGCACGAGGTCCCGACCGCACCGCGCCATCGCCTCGCATCGTGGTGTTGACCGCATGGATGGTAGACAGTCGGCTGGGGTGCCCACCAGGGGCCAGTGCTCTCAACCTGGCCATCAAGAGGTGCGGGGGAGCAGCGCAGTGGAGCGAGGCGCTGCAGCTGCTCCGCGAGGCATCCGGTCGCCGCGCAGAGGCCGACTGGAGCGTAGCGCTGCAGCTGCTCCGCGAGGCATCCGGTCGCCGCGCAGAGGCTGACTGCGGCCACTTCGCCGCGGTCGCGAGCGTGTGCGGGAGGAGCAGGCAGTGGCGGCGAGCGTTGTCGCTCCTGGGCGAGGCGCGGAAGGTAGAGCTGGAGTTGGCGACCATCAGCTACGCCGCCGCGGTCAGCGCGTGCGAGAGGGGCAGGCAGTGGCAGCAGGCGCTGGCGCTGCTTAGCGAGATGCGCGGGGCGCACGTGGAGGCGAACATTGTCAGCTGCTGCGCCGGGATCAGCGCGTGCGGCGCATGTGGCCACTGGCAGCTGGCTCTGTCGTTGCTCAGCGAGGTGTGGGCGGCGAAGCTGGAGCCAGACTTAAGTCGGGCCTGTCCCCCTGCAGGGGGATTTTCGACGAAAAATTAGAAATACCCCCAAAATAGTCCAAAAATAATCCAAAAATTGTCTGGGGACTAATTTTTTGAGCATTGTTTGGCCATTTTGGAATATGTTAGGGGTATTTTTTTGTCGAAAATCCCCCTGTAGGGGGACAGGCCCGACTTAGAGTCAGACGCCATCTCCTCTGCAGCACCTCGGGCAGTGCGCTCACCACGGGGGCTGCAGCAGCACCAGGACACGGGCCTCCTCGAGGCGTCCCCCAGCGCCCAGGGCCCGGAGCCCCCCGCGCCTCCCGGCTCTTTCCTTCCAAGGAGCCCTCCTCCTCCTCCTCCGCCTCCTCTCCTCCTCCTCCTCCTCCTCCCCACCTCCTCCTCCTCGCTCCTCCTCCGCTCCTCCTCCTCGCCCCCTCCCCCTCCCCCCTCCTCCTCCTCCCCCTCCCCCTCCCCTCCCCCTCCCCCCTCCCTCCAGATAAGCTCCAGAGCCCAACCAGGCCTCAGGAGCTGCTCCCGACAGGGGCCCACTGCGCCTGCGGGCTCCCAAGACGGCCCATGGCGGCCTCGAGAGCGTCCCAAGACTGCCCAGCAGGGGCTTTCGAGGCCCCCTAGGACAGCCCAGCAGAGGCCCCGATCCACCCCAGGCAGCTCCAGAGGGCCCCAGCACGCCACATCCACACAAGATAGCCTAAGAGATCCCCAACACGTCTCCCATATCAGGCGGCACCAAAGAGCAGCAGCAGCCATGAGCACGGCAGCGGGTGGCAGCAGCATCAAGCAGCAGCATGCACCAGCAATCAGTAGGCAACATCAACAAGTAGCGCAGGCATCAGGAACGTGCAGCAGAAAACAGCCAACAGCAAGCATGAACAGCACCAGCACCAACGAGCAGCACCCGCCGACCAAGGACAGGCAGCAGCAGAAAGATGCAGGACGCAGTAGCACGTTCCAGCACCACCAAGCAACAGCAAGCGCTTGTAAGCAGCAGCGAGCGGACGGGCCAGCATTGGAAGCAAACAAGGCATCAGGTAGGCATGCCAGCATGAAGGCAGAAAATTGTCTGGCCAACAGTTGAGCAGCCGGGCAAGCAGGACAGCCCAGGCAGGCAAGCAAGCAATCATCACCCGTGCGAGTAAGTTTTCGAGCGTGCACCAGTCAGCTACAACGCAGCGATCAGCGCGTGCGAGAAAGGCGAGCAATGGGAGCACGCGCTGTCGCTGCTGAGCGAGATGTGCGAGGCAAATCTGGAAGCGGACGTCATCAGCTACAACGCCGCGACAAGCGCGTGCGAGAAGGGTGGACAGTGGCAGCAGGCCCTGTCGCTGCTCGGCAAGGTGCGGGCGGAGCAGCTGGAGCCGGACGTCATCTCCTCTGCAGCGCCCGGGGCAGCGCGTTTGACCACAGGAGAAGCTTGGCAGCAGCATCAGGACACGGGTCTCCTTGGAGTACGGTCAGCCCGCATACAGTCAGGGCGCTGAAGAAGGAACCCTTTCCGTCGGGGAGGGGCTCGATGTTCCTTCATTGTTCCACACCTTGCCTGAGGTTTCCCTTCAGTTTTCGATGGGAAGTCGAAGTTTGACTTACGAAAAGAGGGGCCTCGTTCCTTATTTAGGGTTCCTTAGGTCAACGCCTCGACTGTATCAAGGATGGGCAACCTCCCCAAGGCTACCCTCGCATTCTTGCCTCCTCGGCCCACCCTTGGCCTCAATGGCCGCTCCCCGCGCGAGAAGCTGCGAACTGCCCTTCCGAGGCCCTCGCACCCTCATCGCGCGCCCTTGTGATGCAGGTCCTCCTCCTCCTCCTCCTCCTCCTCCTCCTCC